ACGAGGGAGGGAGGGAGGAAAAGGAAGGAAGGAAGGAAGGAAGGAAGGAAGGAAGGAAGGAAGGAAGGAAGGAAGGAAGGAAGGAAGGAAGGAAGGGTGGGTAGGGAAATAGGAAGGGCCCTGGTAAGAGGCTACAGTTTTCATTCAAGGGCTCTGGGAATTTCAAGCTTTTCTCTCACCTGGATCTTGTGTATCATCATCTGTTCAGAAATGCATACAGCATGTGTGTATGTGGAGAGGACACATGATCAGAAGCCTAGGCTGCAGGGCAGACGTGTCTGTGACTCCTGATGCTGCTGCAAGCTGGTCATGTGATCACTTCTGTGCCTCCATTTCTTTTTCCCTAAAATGGGTTTATAATGTCTGCCTCAATAGACAGTTACTGTTGATTGACAACTTGGCAGGATTGGGAATCTCTAGGAACCACACCTCTGGGCATGTCTGTGAGGGAGTTTCTAGGTTAGATCAACTGAGGTGGAAATAGCCACCCTACCTGTTGGATGCACCATCTGGGGTCCTGGGTGGAATAAAAAGGAGAAAGCGAGCTCAGCATCAGTGTTCATCTCTTTCTGCTTCCTGACTGTGGGGGCCACGTGACCAGCTGCCTCATGCCCCTGCTACCATGTCTTCCCGAGCATGATGTAATGTACCCGCAAAATGTGAGCCGCAGTAGAACCCTCCTCCCCTGAAGTTGCTTGTGAGAGAAGTCACTACTAAAACTGTTAAAAAGAAAAAGATAAACAAGGTAATGGCCCACCCTGAGTGCTATTTGATAAAAGCTAACACCGTTACTGGCTTGACAAATAAACGTTGGGATATCCCTCCACCCAGGAAGCCAGAAACTTCTCCTTCCTGCCCAACCCCTCTCCCTGCCTCCACAGCCTCTCCTCTTAAGTGCCCACTTCCTCCGGAATTATCATCAGCTGTCTTGTTGGGAGTCTGAATAGATTAATGAGCTAATAGGAAATTAAGGCTCAGAAAGCAATTTCCAGTTATCTAAATGGAGGCGTTTTCATCTAATCGGTTCAGGAGTGTGGTAGGGAGCTGTGTGCAGAGCGGTTGGATGTCAGCACTCTCCCCAAATTGTTTCACACGTGTGGATGCAGCTGCCAGGGCTTGCTCCTGCACGGGGATGCTGATGGGTTTCCCCGTGTCGTCTGTGTCCCACCCACCTCACCTGCCACGGGGGTCTGGAGCTCTGAGGTCTCATTTGTTGGAAGCTGCTCTAGTGTCTCTTCCCTGTCCCCTTTCAAAAAGCCACTGTGTAGCTCAGGCCAGCTAAGAACTCAGCTGCATAGCCCAGGCTGGCCCCACACTTATGATCATCCTCCTGCCTCAGGCTCCCCAGT